TTTTATAAGATCTTGTGAAAGAAAAATAATTCAGCAGACTCTGCTTGAATTAGATTACAATTTTCTATAGTTGCATAAATTCCTAACATGTAATTTATTATATAGCAGCTTGCAAAAACAGTCGAACATAGTTACCATAAAAAAGAAAACTTTTTGTGTATTACATGTCTTGTAAAATGTTCTGAAAAACATTGTAATAAGAGAAGACTAATGACCTATCTGTATTATATTGTACTAATAAAAACATTTATTTAGTAAAAAATTAGTATACAGAATTGCCATTTTGTACATATGATACAGATACGTAAAGACATATTAACACAATGAATAATTAACTATTCAACTACTCACTTTGTAATGTGTGCGAAACAAATACTTGTATTAATTAATCTTAATAATATAATATATTTATTAATGGTGTTAATTCTAATATTTAATTGAAATTACAGGTGCGATAGCCTATTTGACGCCATTTACGGACACGTATCGAGAAACGCTTTTATCGTCCTGGAAAAAGATTCTCGGCGAAGGTGTGCCACACACACCAGGCAGTGATCCCGTATCAACTCTTGGTGATCAAGTGGAGATAAGAAAGTGGCAAATCGAGGGTTTACCCAGAGATACGTTGTCTGTCGAAAACGCGGTCCTCGCGATGCACTCGAAACGCTGGCCGCTTTTTATCGATCCGCAGGCACAAGCAAACAAATGGATACGCTCTTTGGTAACTAACAATATATCAAGTAATATCGATCGATAAAACGGTAAGAAGAAATAATAGAATTAAGTACAGTTGCTCACGAAATTATTCGAATACTTAGAACTTTTTATAAATATATTATTTGTGTCAGGTAGTTGAAAATTTAATTAACATTCTAGCGAGATCTCGGTGGTATTATTGGTTAACGAAAAAGTTAAGAAGTTGAAAGAAATTTAATATAAATATATATTTTATTGTAAAGTAAATTATAATAAAAGTATTCGAAATTTTTATGAACATATTATGCGTGCTAATAAAGTTTGAATAAATCTAAAAATAAATATATGGAAATTGCAAGATATATTTAATACAAACATCTATTTCATAGAGGTTGTAAAAATATTTAAACCCGCTATAATTCGTGATTTCAATAAGCTTATTAATGTACTTCAGACGATTATTCATGCCCCATATTAATTTTTTAATAAATATCCTGTAACTTTTATACTCATTTTCAGATTTCTTTGAAATTTTGTCAGTATACTTGTAACGATGATAATCGTCTCTCAAGTTCTCCAATAATAAACAGTTTGAACAGTTTCGTAAGCCTCTGTACATCCTCTGTACATCAATTAAGCTGATCCATATTTATTTGCATTATCAGGTGCATAGTTTAACAACTTTGTATATTGGCAATTTCGTATAATAGTACTTCCACTACGTAGTTTAACAGTTCACTGTGCAATTTCGAAATTCTCCAAATTTCTAACATCATTTTCAATATGTCCGTCTAATGACTGTTTAATGACTGTACTTCCTGGGTACAATTAGTACAAAGACAACGGCATATCAGTGGCAAAAATGACAGATAGAGAACTGCTTCGCGTCCTCGAGTCGTGCGTCCGATTCGGAAGAGCTTGCCTTATCGAGAACATCGGACTCGAGTTGGAAGCTGGTTTAGACCCTATCCTCCTGAGATCGTTATTCGAGCATGGTGGCCAATGGTGCGTTAAGATTGGGGAGAACATCGTCCCCTACAATTCAGATTTTCGGCTTTTCCTCACCACGAGACTTTCGAATCCTCACTACACGCCGGAAGTGTGCGTGAAAATATTGCTGGTGAATTTCGCGCTCACCGCCACGTAAGCTCTTGAAATTCTATCTAAACCAGTCTGAGTTTTTCTTACTTCAAATTATCGCGGAAAAATTGTGCGAGAAAACTATTGATCTTCGAAATAACGGGAAATCAATTATATTTTGCAAAAAAACTTTACTTTATTAATAATATTGATATTATTTATCTCTACTGTTTCTACTTATCAAACAAGACGTTGTGAAGCACGAAAGTATATTCAACATACAAAATATATAAGAAGCACTTCACTTTGTGGGATGTTTTTTTCTATATTTCTTCATGTTACGTGCAATTTTTGCAGTTAAAAATTTTTCTTATATGCAATAAATGTAATACATGCAAAATAAGAAAATTTAATGGCAACATTGGAATTGATAAAAATCAATGAAAATATCGGCATGAAATTAAATATAAACTGTGGCAAAAGAGGCTTCGAGGACCAGATGCTGTCGTTGGTTGCCATTCAGGAACGACCCGACCTTGAACAAGCGCGAAACGCTTTAATCATATTGAACGCCGAAATGAGAAGAGAACTGAAGGAAATAGAAGATAGAATTCTATATCGACTATCAGTGTCTGAAGGTTCTGCTGTTGACGACATGGATCTTATCCTCACCTTGGAGGCGTCCAAACTGAAAAGCGAAGAGATCAAGGTTCACTTTAATTCACGAATATTATTCTCATAGAAATTAAGTACATGTATTTATTTATTTATTTACGTATTTACTATTACGATATTAGATATAATATTTATTTATCGTTTATTTATTACTATATTGCTCTTGAGAAAAAGAAGCAAAAGAGAGGAAAGTTGAAAAAAAAATTATAATTAGATATCATTGAAAAAGGATTTTTAAAGAAGTTTAAGAAAATGGCTTCTAAAAGTCATTTAAAAACTTAAGAAAACAGCTTTCTTACATTAGTTTTAAAATACGATTTACGGAATTAATCCTCAAACGACGCAGTTAAATGCAGATTCTGCTCGGTCTTAAAGTAATTAATTTAACTTCTCTTTCATTAGTGAAGGGGAAATTGTGTATACATCTATTAATACAAAATTGTGTTACATTAATTCGATATTATATTAATTGTTACTGAACTTACGGATGTTTATTTTATATTTTTATGTATATAGATAATTAAAAAAATGGAAGCTAAGTGCAAAAAATTATTTTATCTAAATATTACAAAGACTATTGTACTTAGAATGTTTTGTACATTTTCGCAGTTCATTTCATACATTATTTTTACATATTTTTCATATTGAAATTTTTTATTTTAAAATCACGGTTAAATCGAAAGAAACATGAGCAACAATGGAAAATTTTATGGAATTTTTTCGAGAGAAATAATGTACATGGGGTACACACATTTCTGCCTTTAGTCATTCTGGGATCAAGGGAAGTTCGTTATATTCCAGAAATGAAAGCGACAAACCTTTTCTTCAAAACAAATTGCTCTTATTGTCAGAGAGAGAGAGAGAGAGAGACTCGCAGAAAAATCTATATTAAAAAATTTTTCCAGCCTTTGATCACAAGTAAACGAATTCATTTTCATGACGTGTAGGTGAAAATGAAAGAAGCTGAAATTACCCAAGCGGACATCGACATAACCAGGTCGCTGTACATACCGGTCGCGATTCGCGCTCGTATCCTGTTCTTTTGTCTCTCCGACCTGCAATTCATCGACACGATGTATCAATACTCGCTCGAGTGGTTCGTCGAGATCTTCAACAACAGCATACTCGCGACGGAAAAAAGCGGTTAGCAAAAGAACTGGTTTTTTAATTACATCATGTGCACCACCGTCCCTAAGCATTTGGGGACAGTTGGTGCAATTCGATCAATCCCTTAACACGAATTAAAACGAATTATCTCGGATCAAATAAACTGTGCAAACAAAGACAGAGTTTACAAACATGTGTAAGAAAAATCGACACTTTTCCAAACATGCAGGGAAAAAAATGAATTAGACAAGAGATCGAATGATTAGAAGTACCAATACACGGTGACACTTTTGTGTCTAGATCGAGTATAATAGTTTTTAGTGACTGCTGCAATAAAAAGACAGCACCGAATAATTTTGATAAAGCAACAAAAAAGCAAGTTGAAAATTAATTATTTCAAACGTGCTATTATAATTTACGGTATTCGTGTTAATAAATTTTTACTTATAGCCGATACATTTTTAAGTGAAGAGCAAGTGAAAGAACACATTTTCCTCAGTGGCCTTAGGATATGTAATCAAAAAAAGTGAAGATCTCTTCTTCTTTTCTGCAATTTGATCTTCAATCTAATTGCAGTTTCTGTGTGAATAGATCGAATTTAGTGTCGCGGATGGATCGACTTTCGAAAACCTTTCGCGAGTTTCGACATCTCAAACGGGGGAAGCAAAACTTGTTTTCAAACGTCGATTTCCACTGCTCTCGTATGCTTCAAACACAAACACATATAATTTATTACTTCTCTGCCTTTTTGTTAGTTCTTTTCATTTTTACCTAAAGATCGTTAAATTCATGGATTCGATCTATGATTACAGATTAACGTGATTCATAAATGTAAAATAACGATAAAAACGAATTTTTCCAGGCGACATTCAAACACGGGTGGAGAATATCAATCGCAAGTTCATGTTTTCCCTGTTCTCGAACGTGTGCCGCAGTTTATTTGAAAAACACAAGCTTCATTTCGCGTTCCTCGTGTGTGCCAGGATTCGTATGAATGACAATTTAATCGACGCGGTGGCATGGAGGCACCTTTTGTCAGGACCCGAGCCACTGAAAGTAAGGGACACAATGAATACAGTGAATCATATAATTCGCTATTCGGCTCGTTAATGCAGGCGAACAAATTTTCAAAAGCGAATTAACACACCATTCAGTCGAATTTACGTAGATTCGCGCACTTTCATGCGATCTCGTGCATCTTCATGATCACATTTCAGGTGACCATAGATAGAACCATGATACAGTAAATAGTAGCGCTGTCTGAGTATATATTGACGTTATTACGAAAAATAATGTTGCAAATAGTCTTGAATTTTCATAATTAAGGAATAATTAAGAAACAATCTCATTTGAGGTATATTTTATTATATATATATATATATATA